ACGGTCACCACTTGCCAAATATGATTTTTTTTTGTTTGTACTTTTTGTTTCAAATTTAAAATTTTAAAATAATTATCCAAACAAATTTTTTGTTTTTTAATTCTCAAAAATTGTTTTAAAAAAACAGTTTTATAAATTCTTTTGGGAAAAAGAAAACAAAAAAAAAAGAGAATCAAACAAGCCCAAAGTTTTCTTTTTTTATCTGCGGACGTTGCAAAGAAGGGAGAGAAGACGCACGGAGTACGTGAAGAAAGCGACTCATTCCAACCATAAGCGAAGATTAAAGGCCCTTTGTGCCCAGAAAATCCTCACTGACAGAGTTATATATGCAAGGGAAAAAAAGACCCAGTGTTGCAGATCAAAATGAAATGGAACCTTGAGAACTTTAGATAATTCCAAGAGAAAGGAAAAAGAATTAAGAACTAGGCGGCGCTGATACATAGATTTATATCAAAAAGGCAATTAAGAACTTTAGATCAGAGTATGCAAATAGCACACCCCTGAATTAGCATATATTTGCACAGATCCATAATCACAACCAGTTGCTACGGGTGGATACTCAAGTGTTTTAAGAGAATTGGGTGGGTCATAATCTTCTTCACCTCCGCTGGTTTCATGTTCTTCGCGATCCTTGTCCCTATTATTGAGACAAATGATCCACTCTTATCTCCTCATGTGATCAGGCTCTGCTTCAGTATTAATACCGTCACTTTTAGATGGTGACAAAGCCATCTGCCATATAATGAGACACCAGTTGAACCAAGCACAGCCTGCAACAGCATTACCATATACCAGGCAAGTCCTTAAATGACATGTATTAACATATGTAACCAGGAAGCAGAACAAAAAGGTGACATATTGACAATGACCAGGGCAACCATTTGGATTTTTTTTAAAACATTCTTTTTTTTACAAAACGAAACGTAATTTCAGCAATTTAAAGATACTTGAGGCCACAAGACTGATAATATTTGACTCTCTGAAGTTTTTCTTTTAGTCTCGAAAATTCTTCAAACTTGGGAACCAAGCCATTGTTTTAAGACCCCAAGCACTTTTTAACTTGATTAGCCCCGCAGCCACAAGAAGATATATGAGCGGCCTTCCAAACTTGAACGTCAGGTCCAAATGCAACGTTATAAAAAGGCAAACGAAGCATAGCTTATAAAATGCTAAACAAAAAGCAATTATTCCGCACCTTCTGTGTCAGGTGGAAAATGTCCAAATCTTCAGGGGCCATCTTCACGCGCGGCGGCGACCGGTGAATCATCGACGCCGATGACCGAAGACACTACAGGAGAAGGCTTTCAATCTGTTGAACTGATTTTATAAAGTTGATTCATTCAATAACAGAAAACAAGTCAAGCTCACATCTATGTCTTATATTTGCGAACTCCTTCAATGGCTTCCTCAACCTCAAGCTCCATATATTTCTTTGACCATCAGAGAAGATGCAGCAATGAGGTAAATGGAGACAAAACATATTTGCACATAGGAGGTGAATTCGCATTTTATTTCTCAATCTGCTTGGTTAAGAAGTAATCACCTTAATGTCCAGTTGAATCCAACTCTTCAAGATCCAACAGAAAGAAAGTCGTGGCTGTAATATGCCGAGGCCAATAGTCGAATGTAATCGTCACTCCCATCATCTTAGCTTAAAACAATAAAGAAAGGTTAAGATCAGCAATGCAATTTGGACTCCTCAGACCTCAAGAATAGAATCAAATCTCAATAGGAAAAAAAATGTTAAATTAATTGTATGTATGTCAATAGTACAACATAAGGATGCGGTAATTAGTACGTACAAACATACAAAAATCATGTCTATAACTACTAATTAAAACCAGAGTATACCATTTTGAGGTGGATGCACGAGAGTGATGTATGAAGTTATAGTGTTTAGATCAATTCAACCTGAGAGCTTTAAAACTCAATCATTTCTTCAAATTCATCGAAGCAAGCTGTGGTATTTGCGCTTTCGAGAGAGGCCGCTTCCATTGCATTAGAGCCAGGCTGAGGAGGCAATGGCAATTGATTTTGTTTAATGTCACCATTTTGATATTCATCCGCAGCTATCGGGCATACCCCGCACCTTCTGATCTTTACCATTCTGTCATCATCCGAACGAATGTCACCTTTTGATCCGTATGAAGTTATAGTGCATTTGCGCTTTCGAGAGAGAGAGGCCGCTTCCATTGCATTAGAGCTAGGCTGAGGAGGCAATGGCAATTGAATTTGTTTAATGTCACCATCTTGATATTCAACTGCAGATGCTGGGCATACTCCACACCTTTTGATCTCTGCCGTTCTGTCATCATACCAACGAGCTTCGAATTTAACTTTAAGCTCCATGTTGCTCTGACCATTTCTTTTCCTTTCTTCAATTTTCCTTTTTAGTTCTCCAAGTGAATCAGGATCATACCAAAGACCAACATGCTTTGAGGACTCCCCATACAAGTAAAACGGGCTTTTAGCGGCCCTGCAAGCATATTTACCATCAATAAGCCATTTGGCATCAATTTCTCCTCCCCCATCTAATGGTAATTTAGAAAAGACGACGCAAAAAAGGAATCCCCCATCCTCAGAATTTGGAATCGAACTGAGATTCACAGTCATGGGATCCTCTTCAGTACTCTTAAACTTGAACCACTTTGGAACTATTTTTCCTGGATATTCCAATATAGCATCGTCATAAGTGGGTTTCTTTATCGCAAGTAGCACTCTTGCCTCAGCAGCTTCGATTGCCCGTCGATTCAGCTTCTTGCAATTTGTGAATATAAAGCGTGCATATGCCTTCTCTTTCCCTTCTTCACCTTCGTTTGTCAAAGGTGAATATTGTATGGTCTCAAGGGATATGCAGTCAGTTGCAAACAATTGCAAGACAGAGGGAGGGAGCTCTGGTAGACAACGAAGCCTTTTACATCCGTCCAGGTTAAGACGTTGCAGGCGTGAAAGATGTTTGATGCTCGAAGGCAAGGTCTGTACATTAGTCTCTGAGAGATCTAAGTGACGTAATGATGACAGCAACCTGATGTCATTAGGAAGTTCAGATAATTCATTGCAATACGGAAGCCCTAGTCTTTCCAAAGCACCCATCTTATCACACTTGGACAGGAGAGGTGACGCTAGCTCATTACAGCCTCCAGCATCAACACCTCGAAGGTCACGCAGCTCAATCAATTCGTGAACGCTTGTCACATTTCCGCAATTGGCTATAGCTAAGTCACGAATTTTGCTGCGATGCCCACTTGATGAGCGCAACGCACCTCTGATGGCAGCTCCTGAAAGGTGTGAACAGAGCTCTTCATTTTCTGAGGTTACTGAAAATTCCTCCAGACTTGAGCAAAAACTTACATCGAGCCAACTGAGAGATTGGAGAGGGGTATCGCTTGTAAGGCTGGTAAGGGACTTGCAACGGTGTAGCCATAAACTATGCAGGCTGGGGAGAGATAAAATAGATGGATGAACACTCCGTAATTTTATACACCGCATGAGACTAACATCTTCAAGACGTGTGGCCTTGGAAAAATCTGGGAGTTCAATCAAGTCTCTTGAATCCATGAGCGTAATTTCGATTAAGTTCCGAAGATTCTGTAAAAGCATAAATTACATGATAAGATTGGTGGCCAAAACCAAATTAAATTACTTATCTATTCCTTTTTATAAGGTTTCGCTGCCTGTTTTGCTGAGAAAATAAGTTGAAATTAGCTATTGTCAACAACTTAAATTTTACAACTTTTCATAATCTTAATCAATACTCCCTCCGATTGAAGATACCAAATAACTACATCACATAATTTGAATAAAATTAGTTAAAAATAATAAAAGAAAATGTAATTTATTTTCTTAAAACATGTTTGTTTATGGAGAGGATAAGTGAGAGAAAAAATATGTAGAAAAAGAGATATGAGAGAATGAGTTGAAAAAAAAAAAGAATTAGAAAGATATATAATCAATTAAAAGTAAAAAATAAAAATGATGTATCTCACAAAAAAAAATGATGTATTTAATGATTAGGTAAATCCAAATTATAACTTATTAAAAAAAAAAAAAAGCTTCAAAGATTTGATGCTTATAGTTCAACAGAGATAGTAATCTTTATAAGTAAAGGGCATGGAGCTTAGTGTGAGGGTGAAAGACGAAGGCATTTATTTAGAATGGGTTATCAATATTTCATTGAATTTTGTAAGAGATTTTATCTGGACCTTATAAAAAGGGCTGAGCGGAGCGTATTTAATAACAGATTTTCCAACTGATGTGTTAACAATATTTTGTAAGAAAAAATATAAAATTCACCTGCACTCCATCCCAAAGTCTTGTCAATCTGCTGCCGGGCATTTTCAATCGAACAAGACTTTCAGCCTTAAATGTCGTTGGCAAGGACTCGAAAGGGCATCCCACCCAATCCAGTAGCATGAGTTTTTTTGACAGAAACTTCATACAAGAAGCATTTAACTTGTTCCTAAGCTGTCCATTCAAATCTCCATAAACCTTAAGCAGCTTTAGATTGGGCATTGAATCAAATGCTTTAATAATTACGCACATCTCTTCAACTTCTGAAAGGGTAATAACCATGCCTTCAATACGTCCCTAACAAACAAAAAAATTATAATAGTAATAAAAATATTATATACGTCAAATAGGAATTTGGAATTCAACAATCTTTTTAATAAATAAATGTAGAAATTTCACGCTTACCATATTTTTCTTCAATATATCAGAACTTTCCTTGAAAATCCAAAATATGTTGCACCATGTAGGATAATTTAATGATTCTTCACGGACAATTTGTTTACCCATTTGTTTTATTAGACTGTGCATATATATTCGTCCTCTATCAATATCTAAAAGGGCTTTTTCCTCAAGTCTCGCCAATCCAATCTCGGTTGAATAACCGCATGCATCTAACAATTTTTTTACATCCTCAGCATCATAATAATAATTGAAAAAACATGCGACGTGCAAGACAATATTTTTCTCTTCCTTATCAAGTCCTTCAAAACTCAATCTGAGGATATCAATGACTTCTGGACAAAACAATTTTTGAAGCTTTGCCAATTGGCTTTTCCATGCTTCTTGATTTTTGCCCGCAAGATGGAGCCTAGAACCTTTAGAGCCAATGGATTTCCACCTGCATATTTAGTCACTTCTTCTGCTAGCTCTCTTATCTTAGGATCACTGCAGCTTGTTTTGAAGGCATTCAAGGAGAAAAGTTGAAAAGCTTCATAAGGATCCAAACCATGAAGCGCATATATATTATTATCATCCACTTTCGTACGAAGCACTTGCTTATCTCTGCTTGTTATTAAGACTTTGCTACCTGATCCAAATTCACATCTTCCAACTAAATTTTCTAATTGTTCAGCATTATCAACATCATCAAGCACAATGAAAACCTTTGTCCGACGAAGCCTAGTCATGATATGAGAATATATTGCTTTACCCCCCAATAAACTACAAACAAGTTCCTTCCTTAAAGCATCTATTCCATCTTTTAATTTTTCTCCCACTTTTTCCAGAAAGTAAGACCCTTCGTATTCAAAATGCCGCTTGTCATACAATGCTCTTACAAGAGTTGTTTTGCCCAAACCGCCCATCCCCCAAATTCCAATGAATTGGCAACCACCATTTTTTGAACCTTTGTCCAACATTGATTCTACAACTGCCATTCTTTTGTGAATTCCAATCAAGCCTTTTAGATGATCTTCACTTTGATACCTACGGTCCAACTCTTTCATGATACAATTCACTATTTCTTCAATTAGCACTGCTTCATTCCTACACACCATTGAAAAAATAAAGAGGCACCAAATTTAATACCACATCATCTATCCATTTCAAATTTTGAACTATTCCTAATGACATGTAACTATGAAGATTTGCCAAATTTTAAAATTTGTCATAATATTTTTTTTGAGAAATATTACTTATATTAGATGACATAACTAGATATATACATATATCAGAGAAAGATCATAAGCATATATATACAAGTTACCTATCGGGGCTACAATGCCAACCGGATAAATTGGCAGCATGAGTGAGAGCCTCCCTCCACTGGCGCAGTTGTTGCGTGTTGATGCTGCTTTTGCGCTCATGTCCTTCAAATGCTTCGTGGTAACTCCCACGTTGCTTCCTCACATCTGAAGGATCTACTCTATAGAACACAGGTATAAGAAGGTGACTTTGATTTCTGCAGCACTCTAATATTTTTGCAAGCTCCTTCAAGCACCACGTGGAAGATGCATAGTTTTCTGAGAACACCACAAGGAACAGAGTTGAATCTTCAATGGCTTTCTCAAGAGATGGCCATAACTCATCTCCTTTCTCGAGGCTGTCATCGATGTATGCATATATTTTTTGTCCACAAAGAGCACGATAAAGATGGCTTGTGAAATTCAAGCGGGTGTCCTCACCTCTAAAACTAATAAAAACATCATATTTCTTGGGAGATGGAGCAGAGGAAGAAGATGAAGCCATAGCAGATCGCCTGGCCACAATATGCAAAAGAGAATTGGGACTGCTTTCAATTCAGATCCAAGAATTTGTAATAGGAAACAAACCGGCCAAAGGGGAAGATGAGATTACAGAAGTCGGTTGGGTAAATTAATGAATCAGTGGCTCTCAAATTTCAGAGGAAGGGAAAGACAGCACTAAATGAAAAAAGCATAGTACGGAGAGCAAGTAAATTACTCCGGCACTTTACCCGAAATGTTGACTGAACCCAAAAGCAAGTTAGAAAGTGGGAACTGGCTTCTTTTCATCCGCTGCCCTCGCCACTTAAAACTAGAGTGATGCTTAAACGCTTTATTTTTAGACTATCGAAGCTTATTTTTATCCATTTTGATAAGTATTTATAAGTATTTTTATATAAATTAAGACAAAATTCTTCTCATATAATTAATTTGTATTTTATAACTTACAATTAAAAAGTTGTTTATAAATTATTCCAAACAAGTTTTAGTTGTTACTGAGAAAATATTTGACAAAGCCAAATGCTTATTTAAAAAATTCAAAAAAGGGTTCTGCTTCACCTATTCCGCACCAAAACGGTGACTTTTAAATAAAGAGGGGCAGCTAAGGCAAAAAGGAGAGAGGCTGGTTTCGATGAAGTTCACATACAATTGGATCACAGTACCACGCGGTATTTGTGATTGACGTATTTGTATGGACATGTGCATCTAATTTGTATTCACCCCTACCATTCAAGTGACATTTTTTTTCCGTTTTAAAAAGCTTAATTTTAATTTAGACCTTAGCCTTCACCCCTTTTAGCAATCGCGCAAGGAGAAGTTACAGAAGATCGCTCCTAAATGACTTGCTGGCAAAACGAGTTTAATGATTGTTTGGATTACCTTATTTTAAAGAGAAGAGTTTTAATTCATAAAACGAAAAATATTTTTTTAAAAAAATTGATTATGAGAACCATTTAGCCAATAACTACCCGTCTCCATTCATTACTACTTTCGATCCTAAATATAAGAACTGGTTGACTAATTTGAGCAGATTAAAAGAATAAGTTAAGTTAGTTATTTGTAATAAATAAGTGTTGTCTTTCCTAGAATATCCTTAATAACCAAGTTTATTGGCTAGCACAACAATTATTAGAAGGACATCTTAGAAAAAAAACGGATAAATATGACAGATAAAGGGGATTGAGATCTTACATTTAAGACCAAAATAAAAATCAAACGAAGTCTTATATTAAAGACAAGAGGTAGTATAATATAGACTTTGTATTTTTGAAGGTAATATAGCGTATATTAAATAATGATAAATTTTAAAATTTATTAAAATTTTTGAAAATACCTTTAAAATAGAAAGAAAATAATCAAATCACGGAACTGGCGGAACACGTTACCGCAGGAGGTGAATTTAATGTCTGAAAAACGGTAACAACAAATTGGTAAGGATGACTTTTGACTGGTTGGATTTTGCAGGGGTGAAAACAATTCCCATGCATTATTATGGAGCAGATTATTGCCTAAAATGCCAGAAATTCTTTTTGACCTGGAAAAGTTCCAGAAATTCGAAGGCCCACGCACATGGTCTGACAATCAAAACAGCCTCATAAATGGTGATATGAGCTTTTTTTTTTTGTTGGCCTGAATATATATAATTTATCTTTATTTAATTTTCAAAACTCCGTGATAGCTGCCCACCTTGTCACTATCAGCTCCGGAGCTCCGATGGCCAACGGCAACTGATACCAAAGCTCTGGCTATATATGGATTAGGGTCTCCAGGAATGGTCTGAGTGTATGAAGCTAAATGCATCAGGAACTTACATAAACTAAAATAATAACAGTTATGAAATTAAGAACTCCTAAGGAATTAAATTAATAATTTTTTATTTGAAGAAAAATAACAGTTAAAATATTATTTTTATTTTAAATTTTAGGGTTTGCACAATTGAAAATAGAAACTTTAAAAAATTGTATAAATATAAATTAATATTAACTTTTTACCATCCAATATTAAATCTCAACTATCAAATATCAACCTAAGCCAAACTGCCAGAAGCAACCTCTCGAGCGCAAGGGTATCGCTTAAACAATAAATTGAAGCGAGGTTAAAGTAAGCAATATAATGCAATTTTCTCTTTCAAAACACAGTCTTCCGTCTGTCCTCATTTTGTTTGTTCTTTATACTATCAATTTTTTCCCCCCAAAAAGCTCTTAAATCAATTGTGTGCATGCCATCATACAACATAAGGATGCCTTAATTAGTACTTAAAAACCAATATATATATGTATATAACTTCTAAAACCAGAATATGCATACCTTTTTGGGGTGGAGGGAGCGCAGTATATATGAAGTTAAAATGGGCAGAACATTCAACTCGAGAGCTTTAAAACTCAAAATCATTTCTTCAAATTCATCGAAGCAAGCTGTGGTATTTGCGCTTTTGAGAGAGGCCGCTTCCATTGCATTAGAGCCAGGCTGAGGAGGCAATGGCAATTGATTTTGTTTAATGTCACCATTTTGATATTCATAAAATCGGATGATTCTACGTTTTGAATCACGATTTTGATAACACTGGTAGGAAGTACTTGAACCCTTGAAATAAAATTGACCTTTTATGGGAAAAAAAAATTGACTGATATAAAAATCAATCCGACTTATGACATTATTAGGGTTTGATTAAAAGACCAAAAGAAAGATTGAAGAAGTGGAAGTGTATAAAATCCTCTAAATCTTAGGGAGAATCCTAATAAAATCCACCTGAAACACTTAAATCCAAATTAAAGCATACACTTTTAATAAACTAGAGATTTCTGAATGTCACTAAATGATCAGAATGTATTTGTTTAATTATAAAGAAGAATGGATTATTTTATCCCTTTCAAGTAGTCTTTCATATCTTATGATTAGTTTTTGAGACTAAAGAAACATAAGTAATTTTTACGGTGTTTAAATTTTTTATATATAAGTAAAATCTTCAAAAAATACTTTAAATTACAATATAAGTGCCCTTTAAATATATATTTAAAATAAAATATTTTCGTTGAAAAATATTTGTAATTGATATAAATAATATTTCACAACAGAATAAAATAAAAGGTGTTTTTTTATTTTGTGAATCCAACGTTTAGTTAAGTAAATAAAACTAACGTAAATTATGAAAATATAATATTAAATATTTGATCTAATTAAAATATTTTAAGGTCTTAAAATAAATATAGAAAATAAAAAATATTTATTTCAAAGCTATTTATGCTGTAATTAAGATATTTTATCAGAATATTTTTGAAGCTTAGCTGTACATACAAATTTTAAACGTTATAAAATCAATTGTATTATTTTTCGGTCCGAAAAAATAATAGTAACAGATGAGAGATTACTTAAAGAATAAAATAATCAATTTTTCTTTTTGATAAAAGGGAGTCAGTTTAGTCATTTAACATTTAACAACATTTAGAAATTATAAATTAAGCCTCACAGCCTGATTAGAAATTTATTAAAAATATAGATTTTAATTTGAATTTAGATATTTCAGCTAGATTTTATTGAGATTTTTCCTAATTCTTATTTAAAAGGAAAAGAGAAGTCTTTTTTTTTAATTATTTATAAGAGATTATTATTTTTTCATGAATGTATTCCCTCTAATCTTATATATAAATTTCAAATAACTGAATCACGTTTAACAAACTAGTAATTAAAATTAGTTAAAAGAAATAAATGGGTCAAAAATATTTTTTTTTCCAATTGAACTTATATTTTGGTTATACCAAAAAAAAGAACTTATATTTTGGATTACATCTTTTTCTAAAAGTGAAGGACGGAGTATTATTTTACTCTCATTTATTATAGATTGTTTTGTTACGATGTGCAAAAAAGATATAATTGGGACCGCTTTAATTCAGATCTAAGAATGATTTAATGGAGTAGACTTGGTCAACCAAGTCAATGAAAATGGAACATACTGAATAATAAATAATTATAAATATAAATTATAATAAATAAAGGGAAAATGGCAAATAAAGACCTTTGAAAATAGAAAATGGCAATTTGGGTACCTCAATTCACAAAATAGCTATCAGAGACCTGGTCCTAAATTGCAATTATGAAATGCAGGAGAAAAGTCAAAAATGCCATTCCCTTTCTCTTCCTTCCGTCTCATCCCCTCCCTCTTTTTCTTTCTTCTCTTGCTCTCTCTCTCTCTCTCTTCGTCCTTCTCTTTGCTGCTACTGAATCAAGATCAAAGCATTGCATTCTAGTCCTCACCTCAGCCACGTCTCTCACTTTAGAATTTAGAGGGAGAGAAAGGCGCTACTATGTTCTGATTCTTCCACCATAGCTCAAAACCCTATCTATCTCCATTTCCACCTTCCATAGCCACAAACCTGGTGCAGCGAAGAAGGATCTGTACCTTAGAATATTTGGTGAAGTTTCAGCTTGTACTATTATCTCTCTTGTAACAAAATAATATTGCGATGGTTTGTTGGATTTTCAATAGAAAATCTACTTTGAAATTATTATTCCTTGTCTCGGAGAGAGAAGGAACAATGTAGCAAAGCATGTTGGAGCATTGTTTTATGCTTGTTTAAGATTATGTGTAATGCTTACAGAGTGTGATATCCTGCCCCTGCTTGAACTAAGTACCAAATCTGCAACATTATTTGATTCATCTTTTATCACCTTGGATATATCAGAACATTATCAATTCATTATGTTTTTCTACTGTCTAAAACAGGGCTTTATGCATATCTAATAATTATCTTACCATAACTTATGAAAACTATACCAAAAACTTGAAGATACTTATGCCTTATCCTTGCTTACACTCATTTTGAATTCCTCTTTCTTTCTTTACTTTGTCTTTGGTATTGTCTTTATGAGTCAGGTAGTTATGAAGGAAATCAAGAAATGAAAATTCATTATTAACTTTCATTAGTCAATTTATCAGTTTCATGGAGAAAGTCAAAGGCTATTTTAATGTGTATGTGTCTTTTTATATATAGTTTGAACTTTTTTGTGTGTACATACC